ACGCCCGCGTTGCGGGACGTGCTAGTTCGCGCTGGCGGCGTCGCGGGGCGTCGGGCCAGCGGCGTCGACCGGCGTGCCGCGAGCAGAGAACGCGTTGGGCGCGCCTGCAGCCGACGGCGGGCGATGCGAGACGTACGCGGGAGTGCCTCTGCCGAGTTTCGCGGCCGCCGGACGCGGGGGGCGGGCGGGACGCGGATTTTGGCGATGGAGTGGGAGAGATCGCCCATGAAATCGCCCGCAGTTGCCCGATTTCGACCTCGTCGTACTGCGCCGAGATTCTGTGGGGGGACGCTCCTTGGTTCAGGAGAGTGTGCTGCGGTGTTCGTTTGCGGCGTGGATGTGATCCTGGCACGGGAGGAGGGCGGCGAGGTGCAGGCGGGGGGTGATTGCGAGCTTCGCCAAGGCCGTTCCGCACGCGCTGGCGGCGCTGTTGCCGCATCGGAGCGATGTCAGCATTCCCAAAAGAGCCTCTGTCATGTTCGAGCGGGATTTGGCAGTTCGCGAGGCGGGGTTGAGATGTGCTCGCCGACGGGAGGTCGATTCGGCCGCCGTCGAGATCGAGTCGCCCTCTTGCCGGGCGCGGCCGCACGCAACGGGAGACGCTACGGAACGTCCATGACAGCATATCTACCAAGTTGCGCGGCCAACGGACCGGAGGGGCGGCCGGGACGCGGGCACCTTTGTCGTCGTCGCCGGCGTCACCAATGAAATCGCCCAAAATGGGACACATTTTTTCTGCCCGGATCGCCGCGAAACTGCGTGGGTGTATGCGCCCCGGTGCATGGGAGCGCGCCGTCGTGGTTTTGGCCCCGCCGGACACGATGGCGGAGGGCGGGAGGGGCGGCAAGCGGGCGGCGGGGCCGTGTTGCCGGCGACGTACGACGCGCAGGACGTTCGCGACGCGGCTGTGCGCGCGGGACGTGTGTTGTGTGGACGTGCCAGACGCGCCGGAAGCGTGTGCGGGGCGCGGACCGGCCTGCGAGATGGTGTGCACGGACCTGGTTGGGGTGCCCGGAGCCGGGTCGAGTGCGCTCGTTCGGCGCACTTGGCGGCCCCGAAAAGCGTTGTGGCTGGACGAGCGAGGTTTCCTGGCAATGATGAGGGTGTTGGCCGGTCTCGGATGGACATTCTGAGTGAGTTCTGCGACGTTTTGTGTGTCTGCGCGCTGAAAATGCGACATTGTGAGCGGAGTTCGCGTCCGGGAGAGCTGAAAACGCACCTGATACGAGATTAACATCATATACACAGGGTGGAGTAAGACGGATGTATGCTCGCGCAGTGTCGCGCCCGCGAGAGGGGCTGAAGCGTGTTTGGACAGGTCGACCATATGGACGGCGCTCCGCGCGCAGTACGTCTGCGGCGGCTTCGAGCGTGGTAGCAGCGTACTCGCCGGGGTGTTGCGAGCATAGACCGAGCTTGTCGAGTGGGGGCGTCGAGGGCCACGACTGGTAGTCGTCGATCTTGCGGGCGCGTCCAGGGCGAGAAAAGCGTGTCAAGGCTGCCGCGGCCGCGGTTTTGCGGGGCATCACAAACGGTGTGGTGGGCATGTTGCGACGGTATGTGCGCACATATTCCACGCTTCACGCGGCGTGTACGACGCAAGGGGGTGCGGGCATTCGCAATTTGACGGGCGGCCGGGCTGTCAATCGGACGCTGTGAGCGCAATTCGTGTCGGGCAAGTCTGCGAACGCACCTGATGGGAGGTATAAGCAACCTCTACGACGTCGTAAGCAACGCGCACGCGCCAGTGCGAGGGCTGTGACGGGAGTGCTCCTGAACGAGGTGTCATTTTGCAGTGCAGCCGCTGCCCCGAACGGGGTTTTGCTTCGCCGGACTAGCGGAGCGGCAGGCAAGCGGGGGCCGTATGCGTGCCGGATTCGCACACGATACGGAGACTGCTGTGTGTTCTGAGGGAGCGGGATGGGCGATTTAGTGCTTCGGGGGCCTGTATACTGGGTACCGTGAGTGCCAATCGCAACGGGACAAGGCGCGAACAGACATTAAATGAGCGCATCGTCGGCTCGATCATGATGTACACAGATGGCGAGAGAGCGCGGGGGGAGCGCGGTGCGAGATGTGTTGGAAGGCTGAGGATAGGGCGTCAGCTTGCGCGGCATAGGCGGCGCAGGACGGCAGCGGCGCTTTCGAGAGCGCGTGTGCAGCTACGGAGGGTGCTCGACTATGAAACACATTGATTTACATGGCGTGGAGAGGACAGCGCTGCGGGCGGGAGAGCAGCGCTGCGGGCAGGAGGCCAGCGCAGTGCTAAGGGGGAGAAGCACAGGCGAGAGCGCACTGCGATTGAGCGAAGGCGGGCCCGCGTCGTGATAGCAGGCGCCGGCTCGGAGTCGCTCGCTGCACTTCGATCGCCTTGGCCAGGGTTCACGGAGTGAGTGAGTGGGTGACGGGTGCACGCCAGAGAGCGGCAGGGTGCACGCCAGAGCTGCTGTGCCACACGCTCAGGTATTGTGCGGAAAACGAAGCACAACGGGCGTCTGCTGTGCCTAAAGCGGACAATGGGCGAGATCGCCACAAGCCAAACAGCGGTACATAACACGAGGCGGTTGTAGAGCTCGACGAGGACGACATTCAGAACGACATACTCCGCACACCGGCATCGTCGAGCTCAACGGCCAGTCGGTTTACTGGTCCTGAGCGTCGTTCCACCCATCCTGTACACGATACGCTCTCCCCTCTCGATTCTCTGATTCTTCTCTTGTCTTTCCTTTCTTTCCTTCGCTCGTTATCCTCTCTTCCATGTCTGCCCCGTCTTCCCCCACCCTCGGTCCAGTGGCACACGAAAAAGGACGCACGAAGAGGAGAGAAAGGCCTCCTGCGCTCGATATTGGAGACTCCAAGGCGGGGTCGGACGGGGATGTACGATACGAGCGCGATGCCGCTAAAGATGCGCGAAAGGTAGCCACGCTTTGCATGCGCTTGTCTCGTTGGCTGATCTCAACTGACGATGGTCCAGCAGCCCTTCCTGCAAGTCGTCGGCGCAGAAGACCAGCACACCGATGCTGAGACGGACGGCCACCGCCCCGCCTCGGCCACGTCCTCTCTCGATCCCTACTACTTCGGCGTGCACAGCCCATCCGAGTCGCCAATCCCTCCCGTCCCCAGCCTACCCAAGACTCCCGAAATGCACTCCTACCTGCACCGTGATCCTGTGACGCCCGGAAGGGACCCTGCAGCGATCGACAGGCGCACTCTGGTCGGGGTGGGTGAACTTGCTACCCCTCGCTGGGCGCGGGGAG